CTGATTGTCTTTTATCCTCCTACAAATGCAACTTCTTTGGCTTCTTTAGCAGGTAGAGAAATGGGGGAAATTACGCTGTATTTATGTACTATTTCTAAAGCACATACGAATACAGAACTAGAGAGCATAGTATGTTTTGTTACTTTTCACTCCTGCATCTTTTCAAAATCAATCTTTTATATCTGATCTAAGGTTTTGCTGTTCTAAAGGGAAAATGCAAAGCAGATTTTTTTTTGCCCAGTCTTTAAAAAAAATTGATAAAATACCCAGTTCTCATTGCAGTAGAAAAGATGACGTTATGTATTCCAACGTAAATAGTTATTGCAAAAAATCCAAAATGCACACACATATACACGCATATGAACATGCTCATTTATCTGTATATAGCATGTTTACTTTCCAGGCTTAATATTGGATTCTTTTTTCAGTATCACTCAATATTTCCCCTCCTCGCTCTTCCTGAAATTTTCCCAAATATTGCGTGCTTTTAATTTAATGCAGAAACTTAACTTTTGGGTTAGATTTTTTTGGTTTTTAATGCATAGAAGGCAATTTTTGAAAGACTACTCAGTTTATATTCTTAGAGATCTAATGTGCTCAAAAGTTTATTAACAGGGTAAGCAATCGCCTTCACAACTGTGTTAATTTTACATTTAACTTTTCTGGGAACTACTTTCCCAGAACTACTTTCATTTCAGATGTGCATTAGGATGTGATAGGAGTGTGAGGCTTAAGTGTTTGTGGTTTAAAGAAATGGAATGAAAATATGATTTGGTCTCAAGGATAAAACTTTTAGCTTGTCTTGTGAATATCAAAGTAATTTGGACACCAACTGTAGGAGTTGGTCAGAGATTTGCTGTGTGTCATTTCTCTGTTGGCTAGCGTTCCCTAAAAAGTAAGTTAATGAGTGTTATGGGAAGGAGGCAGTGCTAAACATTCCAGGGAAAAAGTACTTTTTAAAATTAGGCCACTGAATAGTTAAACCATCCAGTCAATTTTGTCTAATGCAAATGAAAGTACAGGTTTGTATTTCTTAGGCAATTAGATACTGGGAGAAATTTTTGTTGTTTAACTGAATATTATAAAAGGAAGCTGTAGTATGTTTTGGTTACATTTATTAGAGTTCTCTTCAGCAAGATGATCCAATGTAAAAACAAAAACTGCTTCCAGTATTCAGAGCACACATACTCAAGTGTGAAGTTTACAGTAGGCTAGAAAAATGCTTTTAGAATATTAACTCTTATAATCAAATGCAAAAAAAAAATCCGCAACAGTTTGTGTGAAGGTAAGAAAAGAATGAATTATAAAAGCATATACAAATGAAAATGTGTTTTAAAATCAGCAAGGGCAATAAAATTGTGGTCAGCATTTAAAAGAATTTGTTTCTCAGTTTGTATTGAAAAAAAGCTGTGTAGATTTTGAAGAGTTCTGTTTCTTGGCATGGGTAAGTAAGAAGTATTTATTTAAGACATGAGTTTATTTTCTGAAACAAGCTGATAAATAGGAGGTACTTTAGAAATATAAATTTAAAACCAAGTAAATAATTGCTGTATGGAAGTTCTTCCCATTCTTTGAAAGAAAGTTTTTGTAACCTGTGGCAAGTACATTTGAGGCAGCTTTTTTGTTGTTGTTTTGGTTATTTTTTTTTTAAATCAAACTAGAAGCAAAATAGCATTTGAATGGAAACTTTCTACTGCTTCTAGTTTTGTCTCCATCATACCTGCCACGTATGATTACATATGACATGGTAAAATTGAAGGCGTTTAGTGAAGGGACCACCAAGGTGATTAGAGGGTTGGGGAACTTGACCTATATAGAAATGCTGATGGAGCTGTGTTTGTTTGACCTGACGAGGGGAAAGTTCTTAGGAGGGGAATCTAACCAAAGTATGCCTGAAAGGTAACTGTAAAGATGATTTACATAATTGTCTTCATGAGCATGAACAGTAACAGGGCAAAAGGCAACAACCTCAGGTTGATTCAAGGGGAATTATATCTCTATAGAACAGTTCTTCACCGTGAGAACAGTAAAGCACTGAACTAAGTTCCCCAGAGAAGAGGTGAAATACTCTGCTTGACAAGGCCCTGGGTAACCCATCGTAAGGCTCTGGTTTTCAACAGAAGGTCAGACCAGGTGATCTCCAAAGATCTTTTTCAACCTAAATTTTCCTCATAATTCTGTGAATCTTTCTCTGATACTGAAGAGAAGATGGAGAAGTGGACTAGGCAGGCTGCAGTACTGCTAGTAATTTATGGAGAATAGTAGTCCAAGGTCCTCTGATCCATTCCTCAGAGCAAAGCAACTGTATTGCAGTAAGGAGACAGGAGGGGAGTGCACTGAAGGACAAAGTGGTGCCTGAGCTTTTCAGAGGAAGAATGTGACAAATGGCTAGAGTGGATGGGAAAGTACTATGTAAGTCTGAACAAAGTGTTAGGAAGGGTAGCTGAACAGTTGAAGAAACCTTTCGAAAAAAGAAGTCAAATAATGAGGGGGAAAAAAACCCAGTAGCATATGGGCTTGATATACACTTAGTGTACTAAACAGTTCAAATCTCAAGTGTATTCACTATGCGTGATAAAGTTTAGATGGCAGGACTGACAATGCAGGAGCCTTTATATGCCTCTGTGTACTGAAGGTAGTGTGGATAGTCTTGGATGGTTTTCTCAGGTAGTGTGAATAGCCCTGGATTATTGAAAGCAGGAGAGCTCTGAAAATGATGAAGGAGGAAAGGTACATCAGGACATTCTGGAATGTTTTATAGTTTGAATCACAAGAAGAGGCTAGAACCTTACCACTGTTGTCTTACATTCTCCAGAAAAGAATAGGAAAAAAAAAAGTGGATTGTTTGGAGCAGGTATTAACACAGTTATTTGATTCTAAAATCACACTTATTGAGGCCATGTTAATGAGAACGCAGCTGCAATGGGCAGGGCACATCTCCAGGATGAAGGACCACCGCCTCCCTAAGATCCTGCTTTATGGTGAACTTGCCACCGGCTGCCGCAAGAGAGGAGCTCCAAAGAGAAAATACAAGGACTCCTTGAAACAACATCTCAGCCTTGGCCGTATTGATCAACATAACTGGTCTACTCTGGCCTCCAATCGGGAGGTCTGGAGACACACCATCTATAACGCTGCTGATGCTTTTGAGAACGCACGCAGGATCACTCTCGAGGAGAAAAGACAACGCAGAAAGAATCGTGTCTTGCAGAACATACCACCTAAGGAGTCTTTCTGCTGTGCCTTTTGCAACCGGACATGCCTGTCTCGTATTGGCCTCATAAGCCACCAGCGCACTTGTAACAAACATGGGTAGAGCCCTTCCCAAATCTTCGTTCGCGAAGCCTGACCATGATGATGATGATTCTAAAATGGGCCATATAAACACAGATGAAAGAAAATACATTTCTCCAAGTTCAACAAATTTTTTTGTGATTTTTTCATTGTTTCAGGGAAGTGGTATTGTGTAAGTAGATGGATATGGCATTTGTCTTGGTAATTCATCAAAGCATACTTAGCATTGTGGTTGCTTTTCTCTCTCCAGAGAGAAAAGTTAGTTCTGCCCTTAGATTGTTCTGAATCATTCCATTAGCTGACTACTGCAACTGTAAACAAAATTTCAGTCTTAAGATGTTTTCTTCACTTTATAAATGCAATTGAGGGCATCTCTGAAATGTCACTGCTATGTCTTGTGTGGTCTTTGTCAGGTAACACTTTACAGTGTGATTTGGAAATTGTGAGAAAACCTGAATGTTCGGATCAATTATTACTGCTGTCAATACCTGTTTTTATTTAGTGCTTAGATATCTATAGAAGGCAACCACTTTATAGAGAAGGGTTAATACCCTTATCTTTGATTTAAGATGGCAAACATTAGTGTAGGGAAAGAAAGTGCCTTGCCAATAGCCAACTCACAGAATTACTGGCATAGGTGTAATTAGAATCTGCCCCTTTTTTAAGCCATTATCTAGTGATGGGTTCTTAAAAGTAGTGTGGTATTAGGAGGGCTGGCTGTTTTTTAGATTAAATATGACTAATATTTTCTTTTAATAAGAAAATTGAAACAAATTTTTGATAGGTTATGCAATAAACGGAACTGTCTCTATCCAGACTTTTATTATCCCTACTAAAGAAAATAGATTGTTTTCTGCCATTGTCTCTTTAGCCAGCAGTAAGCCCAATTGGACAGATTGCATGGTATGCTAATTAATATAGGCTCTTGGGTGAGTAGCCAAGCATGTAATGAGGTCCATAACTTCCAGTGTATTATAGAAATACCATTGATCAACATAACCGCACATTCTGTAGTGTCTTCTACACTAGGGGGGAAAAGTGAGATAGCCCCTGAGGAAGCTTAAATTTAATCTAAGGATTTGAGGTTTAGTGGTTTGAGGTTGGGTTTTTTAGGGGGGATTTTTCTTTTTCCTTGGTATATATCTTACTGTTATTATGGGCACCCCTGTACCCCCATTTTCCTTGCAGAATAAATCCAATCCAAAAGACTTAATATGTATGTGATAACTTTGGGAGACTATATTCTACAAGTGCTTAAAAAAGGGTTTCTTTTGTATCACAGCATCCTAGGGCAGAAGGCAGAATTGATGAATTTTGACAAACAGCATGCTGTTTTATAAAATATTATTAGGTCAAGCTGTGATATGCCAGAGACTGTATATGCTACTTTTGTAACTAATATAATATTTTTATATATATGTAAAATCAAACAGGTAAAATACTTTGCTTTTTAGAGAATGCTGGAAATACATAATTTCACATTTTTATACAGCAATTCTGCTATTGAAATGGGTTTTTTTCGTACTATGTCCTGAAAAATCAGCAACTTGCTGCTTTGAGGCTATATAAATTCAAGTTGTAGAGCAGAGTTGGTTCATAAATTTTTTTCTTATGAGTTTTTTCTAGTGCAATAACAAGAGGTAATCCATTTGCTTATTATTGCTACTTTATTAAAATTTCTGTAAATATTTCTGTCTAATTTATAGGTAGTAGCTCAGTTCCAAATTTCTTTCACATCATGAAGCGACAGTTTACTGAGACAGAGTGGGATGTAATCAAGTCTATGAGTAATGAATGGATGCAGCTGGATATGTTTTATCGGCACTGGGTAAGACTTTTTTCCCTATTTATACTCTGCAAACATGCACAGTTTTTTATATAATTTATTATTTTCATAATAGTAAAAACGTTACTTTTTATAGTTGGAGAGAATCATAGAATGGTTTAGGTTGGAAAAGACCTCTAAGATCATCAAATCCACTGCTAAACCATGTCCTTAAATACCACCTCTACCCATCTTTTAAAGAACTCAGGGATGATGACTCAACCACTTCTCTGAGCATCCTGTCCCAGTGCTTCAAAACCTATTCAGGGAAGAAGTTTTTCCTAATATCCAAGTCTCCTGGTGCTACCTGATACCATTTCATGTGAAGATAAAAATAATTTTGATATTTTAATGATTTTTTTTAATATCAGAAGAACTTTGACAACCATAGTACAGTTGACATTTCTAGGATTTATTACTAATTTTAAACACATAGGTAGAATAAGGTAGAGGGTTCATATCTGTATGTGCCACTGGGTAATTCCAGTTTCATGTTTATTGTAATGCAGAAAGTTAGGCTGGGTATTAACAATATTGATAACTTTTTCTCTTGATAATTGCATCAGTCTACCCTCACATTTAGAGTAGTATAAGTCTTAAATTTATTTTGTCTACCATTTGTAGTCAGAGGTAATGTTTATAGAACAGTTTGAAAACAACCATTATGAATAAAATACACTTATTGTGTCTTTTAGGCCTTAAAGGAAAGCTTCATAAAGGCTATTGGAGTTGGAATTGGCTTTAACTTGCAAAGAATTGAGTTTAATGTATCCCCATTGCAGCTGGAAGTTGGGCAGGTGTATAAGGAGACAAAAATGCTTCTGGATGGAGAAAAAGAAGAGGAGTGGACATTTGAGGTAAGGAGTACGTTTTCACTAGTGATAAACAGTCTTGACTCCCTATGGTTCCATTGCATATTTGATTTTTTTTTTTTAGTTGCCACTTCACACCTTTACTCTGTATAAACCCAGTGAGTGTGTATCAATCAAAACTTAGGTTGTAAAACTGCAGCAATTTAAGGTATTTTTAATGATTGCAAAAACACCCCGTAGATATATATTCATTATAATGGCTTTTTATTTTTCCTGTTCCTGGAATATGTTTCTTGCACTCTATGAAATTCATCCTAGGGTCTGCAGGAAGTCCACTGAAACATATTCAGACCTGTCTTCTTGAACAGTGTCTAGGACTTTAAAGGTCTTCATCAGTTGGTCTAGAATAGGCCTAGTGATTAAGCAACTTCATTAGTGTTTAGGTTAGATGTTTGAAATGGAGGAGGTGTCTTCAGTTCCACCGGGTTCTTATTTCTTGTCCATACAAAAATGTGTTTTTGTGAGTTTGAAGTGGGTGCTGTCTGTGGAAGTGGACAGATGAAAAAACTTACTTTTACTTAATTGGAACATCAGTTTGGGTTCAATCTTCTATCTGAGTGTTGGGGTTTGGGCTTTTGTTTTTCTTCTTCAAAATTATTGAGGCTTATCACTAAAACATCTATCCTGTTAGATTTGATAGGAAATTACTGGTATAATCTAAGGTAGTTTAAAGGATATATAGAGAAACAACTGATAGGGTCATAGTTTAGTGCTGGACATGGCAGTGCTGGGTTAACAGTTGGACTTGCTGATCTTAAAGGTGTTTTCCAGCCTAAATGATTCTGATTTTATACAACGACTTCAAATTATTTAATTACCCTAAGAAACCGAGCTTTAAAAACAAATCACAATGCCGTTTCTCTATGCTCCAGAGGCATGTTCATTTAACCACTTCAAGGAAGAAATGGAAAAAACAAAGTGCACTTTTCAGCAAGAGTATTCAGTTTCAAATACACATTTACATTTTGAAAATATCTATGTTGTTGGAGACAACTGTTCCAGTAGAGCTGTCTGAATGACAGATTTCTTCTGTACACTTGTTTTGTTTAGTATACAAACTATGTGTACCCTATGCATGTGGTATAAAAGAATGAATGTACCAGTAGTGTTTAACTTGTACTCCAAGTTTATCTCTTCACAGCTCATTCCATTCAGCATTCCAATCCACTTTTGGTTTATTTTACAAGTCTATCCATACTAAATCAGCCCTCTTACTCAATTTCTATATAGTATGGCAATATCAGTATGTCATGAAATTCACTAGTTGGAATTATACACTGGGAAAAGAAAATCTTGGGAAAGACTGTGACACATCTTGTACTAGAATGCTTTCTGTATTATTGTGGTGTAGCTCTTTAGGTTGATTTCTAGAACTCCTAATTTTGGTCTTTGACAACATGCCTGTGGTTGATTGACTCAAATAGCATGATGATGATGTAGATAGCTCCCTGTAATACTTAAATGCTTTCTAATTATTTGATTTTTCCTTAGTACTTAGAAATTACTGCTGGAAGATTCATGTAACTTTTGTTTGAGGAATGTCTCCACTTCTACACTTGCCCTCCTGCTTCCCAAGAGCAAAGCAAATGAGAAATATTTTAGTGTTTCAAAGAAAGGGCTTAATATCAAGTTTCATTTAAATACAAGCTCAATTGGGATGTGATTTTATTTGAATATCAACATTTATTAAAATGAAATAAAAAAAATTCAGTTACTAATCCCCAGCCTAAAATTAAACATCACTTTACTTTTTTGTCTTTTCTCAAGTTTCTTTTAATGTTGTGTCCATTTTCTTACTCAGAAAAGTTCTTTTCTGATTCTCTATTTGCCCTTGAGCCAGATTCTTGAAATAACTTGTTAATCGAAAACACTAAGTTTTGAGAAATATGAGAGTCACCCAGGAGCAGACATTAAGAATCATTTGTAAGATTGCATATTACTGATACAGTATTTTCATTGGGTTCCCTCTTGTACTGAGTTTGCTTGAGGGAGCTTTTCTATCAAATAAAAAAAAAATAGTGATATCACTTTTACTTTTCAGATCTACCTATATCTTTATGATAGGAGATGATCAAAGAGAGCTAGACACTGTTTAAAATTAAAATTATCCCATGTTTTGGATTGTCTCATTTCAGTTTTAGACAATCTAATTTACCAAAAACGGAAGAGAGAAACAAAGGGGATTTTATCCATTTAAATTACACCAAATATTCTGAAATCTCCTTCAGAAAGTATGATATGGTTTGAAGCTGGCTCCCTGCCAAGTCTCCAAACCTCACCACAAGAAGTTCCCCCCCAGACCTCAGGGAGAAGAGGAAAAAAAAAACCAAGAGAACCGAAGCGAGGGAGAGACAGCTAAAGCAATATATATAAATATATTTACACATATTACAGTTAAATGCAATTGAAATATATATACAATTTCAAAAGGGAAAGGGAAGGGGGAAGGGAAAAAAGAACACAAACAAAATAAAATATACACGATCAATAGCCCAAGATCTAGCAACTAAAAGAATTAGCAAAGGAATATCTTACTACTCTCCTTGGGACAACAGAAAGTCGCGCTGGAACGACCACCAGCAACTCCATCTCCCAAGGTCGGCAAGGCCTCACCAGGCCTCGCTCCCCAACACGACAGACTCAACAGCAGGGAACCTGCACCTCCAAGCCGCCGGAAGGAAAGAAGGGCGAAGGCCTCTCCTCCTTTCTTCTTATACCCTGGCTTACGTAAAAACCGTAGGGAATACTGGGTAAATCTGGGCACTTCCTTGGTTACAAACTGGTCACCAAGGAAGGCCCAGACTAAACTACCACAAAGTACCATGTCATGTGAAAAAAGACAACTTAAATGCATGAAGACTAGAAAAAGATCCACCACCTTATACTTGTCATGCCTAAAAGGTCAAGAGAAATACTAATGACTAATGTTGACACTGTTCAGACACCCTGTCACTGTTCACAGTCAGAGCAAAGCCAATTCATATTGGAGATAGCATTTTCTGTGAACATTCTAACAGACAGATTTATTGCATTGTGAGTCCAAATGAACTACTTTGTTATGTAGTTTACTGTTTGTGGGCCCTTTACCACAGGTTTAATTTTGCTCTAAGTGTCTTTACCCTCCACTCCTTATATATTTCTGAGCTTGGATGGAAGGTAGTAGCTCAGAAACAGCCTCTTCTTGTTTGATCTTGATGGAATGATTTACCTTTAGGCACTTGTTTGCGAACAGTACTCTAGAGATTGCTACGCAGATTCCCTTCAAAACTGTTTCGGAAGGAGTAGGAGAAAAAATACTGTAAAATTTCATTTTAAAACATCAATTTAATTTTAAGATATATCTACTATGTGTATTAAATATGCTTTAATCATATAGACAGTGTATGCTTTCTTCATTTTAAAAAGGTGAATTTGTTTAGCAATAATTAAAAGATAACTAGCCCAGTGAAGAGTGATAACAGTATTTGTGTCAGGGTGTTAATTTAGGATGGAGTCATTATGATGATGATGGTTATAATGGGTAATTCTGTATGCTCCATTTACTTCCACTGAAAAAAATAAACTTAAAGATTTGTCCTGGTTTCTTCTCAAATAGAGTTAATTTTCTTCCTAGTAGCCAGCATAGTACTGTGTTTTGAATTTAGGATGAGAACAGTGTTGATAACAGACTGACACACTAAGTCAAGAACTCTTTAGTTCCTCATAATGCTCTGCCAGTGAGGAGGCTCTGTAGTGTTAGCTGCCTGCTGGGTTAAACCGCGACAAGAATGAAGTAGTAGTTAATTTCAGTAAAAGTGAAAGAAGTTGATTGAAAACAATTATGACAAGTTTTATAATTAAAAGATATAAACATAAGTTTATTTTGTAAACAGGTTGCCCAGAGGAGTTGTGGATGTCCCATCCCTAAAAGTGTTTAAGGCCAGGTTGAACGGGACCCTGAGCAACCTGGTCTAGTGGAAGGTGTCCCTGCCCATGGCATGGGTGTTGGAGCGAGATGACCTTTAAGGTCCCTTGCAATATAAGACATTCTGTGAAAAAAAAAAAAATCCTAATTATTGATTTGCAAATGTTAAATGTATTCATGATTCTTTCCATCCCAGTTGTGTACAGTTGTTAAGGAAGAATGGCTGGAGAGCATTTTCAGAAATCTATATTGAAGAAGAATCTTAAATGAGATACAAAACATTTCTGTTTTGGTACCTACCTCAATTTTGGATACAACTAGCTTATGAAGGAAACACGCATTTTATCCTAAACCTTGCTTTGGGATTAAGAGTCGCTTGGCATCACTGCTGCTGCACAAATAATTGTTTGCATTTTTTCACAACAAATATTTGCTTGGTTTGTTTCTGTGCAAATACATTACTTCCAGAACACGAATTTCAAAGAGAGATTACCTGGGTCAATTTGAAACATATTTAGTAATTGCTGGTGTGCAACTGTAGTTAGCATCATTCACCTTCAGTAAGAGAAATTAATCCTGTTGCATTATCAGGAATAAATAGGAATAGAAAGTTTTATTTCTAAGACTAGCTAATCCGCCTGGATTCACGCAGCTATCAGTTTTGCTGTCTGGGAAGGTACAGTTTCCTCATAAGCTGTCTGTTGTTGAGTGAATTCATAATGATTTGAATCCCAGACGCATCATTCCGCCAAGTCTTTGAAATGAGATCATTATAAGTCTCGGTTGCCTGTAGCTTGAACAGCTCTAGTAAGAGAGCTGTTCTGTGCAGATAAAAACAAATTTTCCTCCATTATATGTTTTCTGGTTTATAGAGAGGAATCTTAACAAAACGAACTCTCTACCTCAAAGGAATTCTGTACGATTGTCCTCTTTTTGTTTTCTCTTGTATTTCCATTTAAGATATTAATTTTATAAGCTGGTATAGCAATATCTCCAGGGAGGCAAGCAGATCTGCTGTTTCAGTATGTTTCATTAACTCTGTAGCTTAAGGTTTTTGCTGGCCACTAGTAGACAGATGAAGGACATGGTTTATTGTGTTTTATTGCAAGATGGTGAAAATTCTTTCGTGACCACAGAGGATACGGGAAATAAATGAGCTGGAACCTTTTAAATTCACTGTTCATTGAGCAGGGTCTCTTCAGGGAATGGTCTGTCTAAAGAGTCACTGCCTGTTAAACACAGCTTTGAACTGAGAAAACATTATTAACAATGTGTAAAATACTATCTATAATATGTTTTTAGTTACTCGAATAAAAAGTAATACGTAAGTTGACTCCACAAAAGGAAAATTCAGTGTGTTTAACTTAAAACCATAACACTGTTGTTTGTAGACTTCTGACTACAGGTGTAAGCCAGAATGTGCCGTACTGTGTCCTCTGTTCTGATCTGTCTTTAACCTCTTGAACAAGAAAAAAAGAAAAAAAATTGAAAGAAGGGGGGAAAATGAAGTGATAAAAAAGCCAATGTAGTAATTTTTCCATCTAGACAAACACAAAACACTACTAGCCTAGAACTGTATAAATGATTTAGGAACACCTGACAGAGCATCTAATTTTCATAGTCTTTTTTATTTTCGATGAAGTTACAGAAATGCGCACTCTGTGTGCAAATGGTTATATTTCATCAAACCTCCGAAGTAGCATTCTTTATTTTCATTCTTTTATTTTCAGTTTTGTTCCCTAGTAAAGGAACGGAAAACCCAGTAAAATACTTCGTAGTGAATACATCTGTAGCTCTTGCAGTCATGGGAAATACTGCTTATGCTGTAGGTTTGTTAGTGTTTCTTGTGATCATTAAATATTTTTTCCTAATCTAGGCAGAATTGAAACAGTCATTTTCTTACTAGCACTTTGCAGGAAGGTAAAACAACATGAGCTCAATGTTCTGTGTTTAAGTAGATGAGGGTTAAAAAGTTCACAGCTAAAGCTGTCAAATAGGCACAGTTTTGGTGCTGAAGAGATCAAAGTAAAAACATAGCTCTACTTCCTCACCAGCACCTCTCTGCCAAGGCTCCCACATTTGCCAGAAGAGTCTCCCAACTTTGCAGCTGTACTGCTGCTACACATGACTGGAGCAGCTGCTGTCTTGGCTGAGCTGGGCTGAGTAGATTTGAGCTATCTTGGCACTTTTTTATATATAGGGCTGTTTGGAAATGGTATCCTGGCAACTGAAATATTAGAAAGTTCTGTATAGTAGATGAACTGTAGAGAAGCCTAATGCAGACTGACAGCATTGTTTTAAAAGACATTTTGCTTAGATTAAAAGGGGAAAAAACGGTAACCAGCAACCTGTCAGAGGAAATAGGAGGACATCATGATATTTGCTTTATATTATAATATAGTGCAGTTAGAATGTTTCCCAAGGAAGCCAAAACTGGAGATTCACGCTTACATCCCAGGAGAATATTTCAATGACTAGCTGATTTTCAGATTAATGGCGATATCTAAATCATTCACTTTTCTAGGTAAAATTCTTGTTATTCTTGATTTCTGTTTTAGAAAGTCTGGCAGAAATTATTTGAAAACTTTTGGATAAAAGAGCAAGAAAAATTTTATTTCCTCCCCTTACATATTTTTAAAAAAGCCAATGGAATTATGACTTGACTATAAAATAAGCATTATTCAGAAAGAGTATATAAAAGGGTTTGGGGTTTTTTTTTTCTGAAATTATTTGTTTAGGGTGAATTCTTAGCCTTTGTAGAGGAAAACACTTTCAAGTAAAACTATTAAGTAAGTAAAAACTCTATCACTAAATATATAGTTCAGTATCTAAAAATGTTGAGAAAAATTGATTTGTATTTATACATATCAGTGTTCAGACTGTGTGTCAGGAATTTAAAGTTGTGCTCTTACGTGCTGTCTGAAGCCAAGAGTAAGAGAGTCATTGGTTTAAGTTTACAGTTAAATCATTGTTTTTCAGAATACCTTCCAGGAGTTCAGTTCATCTCATTGGAAAATGGATAGCTAAGATGGGTTATATGGTTTGTCACTTAGAAGGGACCAGTAAAGGAATGCTCAGGTCACAAACTTGAATATAAATATCTACAAATGGGTGAGGTGATGATAACCAGTTCAGCCCTACTAACTTTTTAATGTATCAGCATCACTGAGCTCTCCAAGACTGCTAAAAACTACTATTGTTTTTTGAATGTTATTATTTTAAATTATGGTCTGCTATTGTTCTGAACCATAATCTAAACATTTATGTAGTCTTTGCTGAAAACAGAGTAAAGAAAATGCATTTACATTGCCATTTTTTATCTTTACTAGGAAACCCGGTTCGATGACCATCATCATGTTGCAGTGGCACTCGGGAAACAGACGGGATTTGTGCAAAAGGATTCTGCTGTAAGAAATTATGAAACAGTTTCAGGTCTTGTTAATCATCTGAACATAAACTTATTCTTATGCTGTAGCTAAAAATGTGTGATCTCAGATTTAGGGCCAAAGAAAATGCTTATCTTAAGCACAGTTTTAACCAGAACCAAGCAGTATTACTGAACTGTTTCCTGTAGTTATATTGTGTCTATTTCAGGAGAGGTCTGGGAAGGAGAAATGCTTTCAGAGGACAGCAACAGGTAATGTCAGATCTGGAATGCAGTGATCAGTGTGTTCATTCAAGAGAAGATTAAGTGATTTTTGTCACAGCCTGCTAGTACTCATGTGGGAAAGATGGTCTTCACAGAGGGAAATGGAGACAGTGAACCAATCTGAACTTGCTAAGCTTGTATGACACCTCACCAAGTTGATTTTAATGGGGGACTGTCAGTGCGTGTATCCCGGAGCAGATCCATTGCTCAAACACCATTATGACAAGATAACCCTTGAGACAAGCAACAGCAACCAACAGATGGGAAGAACAGCAGTGTTAGTCTTCATTCCATGTGGTGTCTATTGAGAGAAGGAACAAAGCTACTTAAAAGCTTTTCAGGATTTTCTGTGCAATTTAACAAAGATCTCAGTCATAAAATAGCAATAAAAGTCAAAATTAAGGGAGAGACAGACTGGCAAGTTGTAGCTGAAATAGCCAGACAATCAGAAAAGGAGAGTGTGACAAATTGCCGGACTTTTTCTGTGGTGTTTTAATTGCTCACAAGAAAATGGGTTAGTTGTTTTCTGTTATTTAGATACAAGGATTCTACCAGGAACTAGAAAAAACGTAGTGTAGGAATGGATAAAAGTACAAAAGTGGTAATGCACACATCTGTCATGGTAATAAAGTCTGTCTGTGTTCATGAATAACACAAAGAGGCAGACCTTTTAACTAGTATTGGGTAGGTTAAAAAGAAAAAAGAGGTATAAGCTGCCTTTGGGGTTTTACTGTGTTAGATCAGTGTACAAATACTATTTTAAGAAAATACATTCAGTCTGCTAGACAGGACATACTTACGTTCCCAGTAGGATGGCATATCATTCTTCTGACAGGAATACTGATAAATGCAGTCTGAGGTGAAAAGAAGATGGCCATTATTTATAAAGACAGCTACCTAAGTATTCTACAAAAATCCAGGATTTTTAAGTGTTGACCTTCACCACCACTGTCACATACCTTGAAGTTATCATAGGAAGAATAGTAATGATATCAAGAATTATGATGAAAAATCTTTGAATCAAGAGAAGTCTCAGAGGCGTACTTGTCCACTGACTAAACTTCTGATGGCCTGAATTTCATTATCTCAATTCACTGAAAAAAGGTCGTTTTAAGCGGGACTAGTGAGCATCCTATGACTCCCCAACATAAAAATTAAGTGAAAATTTATATACTATTGCATTGTACCTTTTTAGGCCTCCTCCTAACAGGACCATGAAGGAAATGAAAATTACCTTCTCTCTATGTAACAGAACTGTAAAAAATTATTTTGTTTTAAATTTCTTGCTAGATGTGTTGAGAGAAGAAGTTGTTCATCCTTGTTAAATACGTGCAGTTGTTCCAGGATGTCAGTGTTTGAGTTCATTCCCCCTCTGCAATCACAGGAATAATTCATTATGTCCTGTTTGCAGAACATGTACGTTCAGCTTTCTTCCTGTACTGATAGCAAGTACCTACAATTCACAGGAAAGACCAATCGTTACATTAATGTACTATAGCGAAAAATCTTTAGTGTCAAGAATCTTTACAAAGTGTCTGCTAGTGACTGCTATATGCTTTAAGAAACAGAACATGTATCTGCACTGTTTACTGAGATCTAGACTGTTAATCTGTGGCAAATCTCAATGAAAGAGATTATTCTTTATAATTCCTATGTAGGCTATAAAATATCTTTTTGTCTGTCACTTGCTAAGTTTCACAAGATTTGAGATGAATTCAGTCAGAACACACTTGCCTTCAGACAAGCATGCGCTGAAGTTCAAACTATATCTGTTGACATCTTGGCTCTGAGGCTTAGTTCATGTTTGGTATGCATCTGTGATGTCACTTGCATGGCTCTAGGCACAGTTTCTGCAGCTTTACCTCATCTCCAAAATGTCAGATGAACAGGAATGTCTCAACACTATGTCATTTGTGTAAGGACATAAAGTGACAGCCAGCTCAATAACTTCTGGTTTCAGTCTGTATTGACAACTTAGAGTTTTTCTGTGCTGTTACAACAAGCAAAACCCATTTTGTTGTCTCTGCATTTATTCCTAGCAGTAGCTTACTGCTCAAACACTGAAATGGAGAGTAGACCTTTTTGTGCTTTTACGTATTTACTGACCCGCCTTCATTGATGTGACAGAAAGGGACAGCAAAATCCTCAAAATAGACCTTACATGGGATCGTCTGCAGCACTGGTACATGAGCAAGAAAAGGCCTACAACGTACAATTATGAACACATTCCCCAACCTTTCTCCAGGAACTCAACATGCTGGGATCCCTTTACAGTGCCTGTACACTACTCCAAACAATATGAGGAATAAAGTATCATCTCTGGAAAGGTGGCAGAGCAGCTAATTCTGGAAACCATTTCCAGACACAGCAAGGACAAAGAAATCATCAGGACTGGTCAGCATAGCTTCACCAGGAGAAAGTCATGGTTAGTAGACTTCTGCAATGAAATGACCGGCCTGATAGGTGAGGAGAGGGCAGTGGATATTGTCCACCTATGTTTTGGTACTTTCTGCCTCTGGCACTGTCTCTCAGAAGATCCTCCTGGAGCAAATGTTGATATGTGTACTGGGTGAGCAGGCAGTAGGTGTATTGAAAATGGGCTGAACAGCTGGGGCCAGAGCATAGTGATAGTGGTAGAAGGTGTGGTTGGAGGCCAATGACTAATGATGTGCTCCAGTGATCAAAACTGGGTCCAGTCCCATTTAACATCTTCATTAATGAAACAGGATGATGGTGTAGTGCGTCCTCAGCAGGTTTGCTGGTGACACCAAACGGGGAGGAGTGGCTGATATGCCAGTGGGTCATACTGCCACACCAGAGGGACTTGGATAGGCTTAGGCTGCATCAGACATGAGTCAGTTTGTGTGATGTACAGAGTACTTGCACAGCAGAGGAGCCCTGCTGAATTTATTGTTAAACATTAAGAATATGTTGTTTGAGCAAATGCCAATTTAGAAGAATCAACCGTATTTATGTTGGATTCATGCAAGCTGTACTATTTGCCCTACTGTCTGGGAACAACTTCACTTGGAGAAGGCATATACAGCAGGCTGCACAGTAACATGTCCTCAAAAAAAACCCCAAATCTTTTTTTCTTTGAAACATGATTTTTCTCAGAGCGATGAAACTAACATGGAAACCATGACACTCTCATCTCCAATATCTCGGTCTGCATTTAATGTGGATTTAACATGGGGAATGGCGGGTTAGTTGTGACTGCTTTAGTTCTTAAGTAGCGTTTGAGTTTGAGAGAGGCATGCACAACCATGAGGATTACTGGTATTAAAAAGAGTATGAATAGGCACACCTCTAGTGGAATAAATCCTCATGTAATTGTCTCAAATAATCATATCTGGTGGAGAATGAAGTACAGTCTGTTTGATGGTGATCTTTGTCTTTCTTTTTACTGGACTTAAACACTCTGTCGTACTCACAGCATTCTATAGCCCTCCTTCTGTCAGTTTCGTGAACTTGATTGTGAAGGAAAAACTTGATTTTTCTGTGTGGCCTGTCAAATGCTTCTGTTAGTTAATGCATAGCCTAAATTAGGGGCAGTGACACTAGTCTCAAATGCAGAATATTTCCTTTCTTCTTCAGTAAGCAGTGTGTAGTTTAAACTAGACAGAGAATTTTACAGGAAGGAAATTAATGCTTATTGATTTGTGTTATGCTAATATGTGTTTCCTTTAGGTACGTTCCATGGAGCCTAACCCACCACAGTTTACGTTACTGACTTTTGAAGATTTAGTTGCATCTGGTATTCCAGTTGCACCTGAGGATTCTGCATATTGGGACAACTTTTGTTCAAAGCAGGAGAGTCCAGTGCAACAGAGTTCACATTCAAGATAAAAATGCTTATAAGAAAAATAAAATTGTTGAAGATTTCGTGCTGTTATTCTGCATAATTCCAAGTATGGGAATAAGTGCACGTGTGTAGATGAAGTGTGTTTTTCATTATTTAAATTAACAACCTGATTTTCATCTTTTCAAAATTGATACTTTATCAGAATCTTAAGGAAGATACAAGTTTCCTTGCTTATGTTATAAACATAATTGAGCCCTATATCCAGACATGACCATAACACTGACTTCCTTGCATTTCCTCACAATACGATCTTAATGGCTACAGAGTTCCTCTGCCGTTTTAGAAATACTGGTCCAGCACAGCTCCAGCTTCCCACACTAGTTCAAGTTCTTGGCCCAGTCCAGTGCAGGTGAGCTGACCTTTGCTGTCTCCCATCATTCTTCTGCAAGAAGTGTACCAGTTACATCTAGAAGCCTTCAGGCCTTTATGTTCTCCGGAGCTCCATTCCTTCATCTTTGTTTTCTAGATACTGTCCTTGGCATGACCGTACTACATACCTGGGTCCTAGAGGGTAAGAAGCTGCAAAATCACAAGCTCTGCACTACATGAGCCTTTTCCAGCAGGGGCTTGGCTAGGTAGTCTTTTTCACTGTGGAACAGGATTGCCCAACCTTCCTGTTTCTCGAAGTAGAGATTTAGATCACATCTGCTGGCCTAGACTGTGTATCAACCCAGTGTTTTCTGAGAAGTACTTGTTAATGGTCTCTGATCTAAAAATAGTTTTAAAAGTTTTGGTCTTCAGTGAAAAGATTGTCCAAAGGGAATAAATGTGGTTTAGTTTGGACCCTGAAATTAGCTCAGTCTGGTTAGAACATGGTGCTAATAACACCATGGTTGTGGGTTCAGTCCCTGTACAGGCCATTCACTTTGTGATCCTGGTGAGTCCCTTCCAACTGAGAATATTGTGTGCCTCTGTGATTATATTACCGTGCTCAAACCTTTTTGTATCTTGCATCAAAATCGTCAGAGTGGATTAGGAACTTCAGGGGGCAAAACTGTGTTCAAGACAATTTGCAGTTATGTGACAAGAGACTGGTGCCATTTGATATGAAAATCTGTAACTTTGAAAAGTGGATCATGAGAATTCACTCCTAGCCTTTTACAGAATCTGTAAACTTACACAAGATGCATATTGTTACTATCTTATGGGATCAAATGCACTGATGTGCTATCTTAGACAAGAAATCATAGATGCTGCAACAGAAGTAGTGTATATATGATTGTAATATACATATTTTTGGTAAAATCCAGGCAACAGCTCAACTTTAAACAACCATCTTGACCCGAGACACTGCAATAAAGCAATGATTGGCAAAGAAGATAGAAAGAAAAAGATAGTTATACAAGTCAGCATAGACTGCCTCTTTGTTGGAGCTTTACAAGATTATGGTACTGCATTTTACAAAGAAGATAAGTGGTTCTTGGTTCAGAATTGATATAACCAAGTCTAAAAGAGCCTGTCCTCCTTAACTGCCTGTCCTCCTTAACTGCTGGCTAATTCTGCAGGTGTCTAGACATCCTGATATGTGCTTCATTATCCTCCAGAATACAGATAGTTTGGCTTGCTCCACTCTGTATAGAAAACATAAGCATGAAAATAAATTCTAAATTCTGAAGAGAGAAAACAATTCAAAAAAGGGTTTGTGTTTTCTTCAGAAAGTCACTTTTTGTAAGATTATTTTCTTGTGGTGTACATGTACAGAGTTTTTTATGGCCAGATGCTAAATATGAATCCTGTTTCTTCTAAGATTGAGTATAGTTTCTTAACTGAAATAAAAAGTGGGTTACTTTGTGTTTATGTTGTCTATTTGTGGTTATTTTTTTTATCTTGCTGTTATTTAGATCCAGACATAGGTGAGATTACTGAAACACTTGTCTTGCAGTCCTTTGCTGTTTTGGAAACAATTCATGGGACAAAACTGTATATTCTTAATAACATCCTTTGGATGAATCATGATTCAGAGGTCTGGATCAGCTGTCCACTCCTTGGCTCCTTCTACAATTTTAATTGCATAACGTGCAACGCAGTTTCTTGGCATAACTGACAGAATTCTATGTTGGAGTGAGTGTCTCATCATTTGGTCGAAATTGCAGTAGTGTGAAGCTTAATGCTCGTAAGGAAGATACACATTTTCAAGTACAAGGCTACAGTGCTGCACAGTGTTGCTTACACATGTAAGGAGATATCTGAAGATTTGTTTTTTAATTATGATGTAGAACACAAAAGTTCTTCAGGTTGTAGTAGGAGCTTCACACAGAAAAAGAACTTTTACTTGCACAGTGATGTAAACAGGAAGAAAATGGGTATTTCAGTTGAAATGCATGTTTTGTTCTCCAACATGTAGAGTACTTAAAAGGTTGGCCATACTTCCTTTTTATATACATCCTGGGGATTTAGGTGTACCTATTGACATCTGGAGCAGGCTTTGGGCAGAAAGCTAACACCAAGACTCCCAGCAGATGCAATTCCAGACCTATAGGCAGTACCAGAACTTGGAAAGGCAGATGGAGCTTTGGTAAATAGTAATGTTCTTATGAATAGCAAAGCTGTAAAGAGTTTGGTTGAGGGCTTATTTCAGGTTCGTGTTTTTAGGCTTTCAGTGTTGTAGATGTACAAATGTCTCACTTTGAATTTGGTAGTTACCTCATAAACTTATTCAGTCCGATATTTGATAAGGGCACTGAGATTTTCATTGCAAACTTGCCTTTTTTGTTAAAACGTCTGAATTAGCTGGTGCATCAATTTTGTCCTGTTTCTCTGTGTGTTGGTGTACCTTGTGCTGTGCCCTCAGTACCACAGGACCTGTAACACATCTGAGGTTCCTTTTGATGTCGTAAGGTCCATTTGGTTTTTCTTATTTTCCTAATTTTATAAGCTTTATAAGTAGTTAAGTAGTAGAAGTAGGTTTTAGAAGCTGCAGCCCTTATTCCTCACCCTTTAGCACCCTTTAGTTTACACATTCCTCAACTCCCTCACCCCATTCTATGTTCCATATCAATCCTATCCCTGAATTCCAGTAGAAAATGTTTAATCTTTTGTCAAGGCAAGGCCTATGCTGTTTAGAGAACACTTATATCTTGACCCGAACCACAGAACACGGTCAGGAACTAGGTGACCGTGTGCCCTTTGTGCTCTGAAGAAGGTGAAGATGATGAAGAAAAGCCCCCAGACCCAATTCCCAAGGGGTGGACCAGAGCAAAGGCTACGGGGTGGAAACACTTGGGATTGGACAGATAGTATTATAAATTGTAACACCTGAACATGGCCGGCACACGCGTCTTGTAACATCTATGCCTAGGCACAAATTAAATCCTTTTCTTATCTCATCCTCAATTAACTGCTCCAGAGGTTTTTTTTCCTCAGCACCATGAGGCATCACTTTTGCGGCAACAACTTTCAGTGGAGCTAGTCCCAGTGTGATGAAAATTTCTGCTGGCAGGTTGGTGATGCTGAGCTGAGAACAAAATGTTTTGGTTCTATTACCAAACCCTAGTAAATTAAAGGAAAATATGGGAGTTATATGTTAAGACTTTAACATTGTACTGCAAATAATAAGTAGTAAATGTAAAAGGCAAAGTGTGTTAATGCTAACTTTTAGCTCACAGAAAGAAGTTCTTAGTTCTGCTTTGCTCTAAAGTCTCAAAGCAGCTGAAATTATTTCAATCCGTTTAACTCGGTTTCTTTTTTTTGCCTCAAGGTTAAATAGTAGTATCCATATTACACACTTCAGAGTTCCTGTTAAGATTTCCCAACTATCTTGTGAGTTTCCCGTGTCGCGGTACCTTAATGTTTCCAGCCTTGGTTCATTGTTCTAAAAAATTTCTTTCCTTTAATCTTGAAATAGGTTGAAGTTGACTTAGGTAGCCAGTTACACACATTTAATCCATGTGAATCTGTGATGAGAGACAGAAAGCCAGAACTTAGCCTGCCCCTGAATTTACATACAGGTCAGCCACTTGCCCATTCTCCTGCTCGACCATGCCCTGTGTGTCCAGCACCCTGTGTGCCCGCAGAGCATGTTAGCTGTCCAGGCCTCTTCATAGCCCTTTTCATTGCTAAGTGATGGCAAAGGCTGAAGTTGGATGATGAGTCTCAGAGGTTTTCATAAAAACACGTCAGCAGAAGCAAGGGCATGACAGGGCAGTGCTTCACCCAAAACCCACTGCTGCTGCTTGAACAGCCAGTGGTTACTTGGTTGTTCAATGTGACACTGCTTTGGTCAAAGGAGTGGAGTATATACTCCTGCTGAAATGGCTCTTAAGCAGCCTCATTATTTCTTGAATTACCTCACTCAGCTGAATAACATCACTACTTGATGTCACTGAATATTAAACTAATTAAACTATTGCATGACTGATACTTAGTTTTGATTTTTTTTTCTCAGCTTTAGGAGCATAGTTTTCAGTAATTTATCATGGCTACCCTCAGGTTAGTGGATTCTCAGCCTGTGTATCTGTTGATTGTAAAGTGCACTTCTCATCCTAATTGACAGCTTTTGTGACAGGCACAGTGAACTGCTTACTCAATGAGGTCACTGGTCTCTTTGTAAGAGAAATGGAATTTTCCTGCAGGTATTCAGTTCAAACTCTGTCTTCTGAATAAAGTAATATTCTCAGCAAGCAGTGTTTACTACCTGCATAAAAGCATTTTGTTAATCTTGTGACAGTTATGTTGTCTACAATTAATTAGCTGCCTGTACAACATTACGAAAATAGATTAATTTTGTATAGTAAAACTGTGTGTGGATAGAGGTTGTACTTCACTTTTGTACTTGCACATACCACAATTAAAATTATCATGTGAGTGAAAACAGCTTATTACAAAGAGACTGATACTTCTGATATCATTGTTTCTGCCTAATTGTCTGTTAGGATCTTCAGATGATTTGCCTTGTTAATTTAGAATGTTTTCCCTAGAGTGCAGTAGGATATATATTTGCATTTCAACCGGGGCAGTCAGGCACTCCTGCTTGCAGAAATCAGTGTTATCTCTTGGTGACCTTTCAGGATAAAACCAGAAAATAACAAATTGCTCATTGCAGTGGAAGCACATTGATTTCAGTTGGATTTGGTAAAGGCAGACATGCTGGCCATAGAGGTATGTAACATTGGTCATGTAAATGCCTTTAAGTAATCAGAAAATAAGTTTATCTTCTGAGGCTGGTGTTCAGTTAAGGAAGAAAGTAATATCAGATAAAGGCAGTAATTTGTCCTAGAGTGAAGGGCTGCTGAAGTAGTGAAGACTCCTTGTATGTGCTAGGAATTCTAAAACAGATCTGATTTATTTATTTATAGAAGTCAATTTGGGGACTTCTGAAGCCATGTGATAGAATAACATGTTTTTGGTTTGGTTTTCTTTTTTTGGAGTGACAGGAGTTTGAGTTATTGAGTTTGTATAAACAGACTTTTAAAAGGAAAATAAAAATTCAGTTGTATTACAATTTAAATGTGTTAATGCCAATATATCTGTTTGCTGTGTTGCTATGGACTTGTAGCATGCACATACATACACACATACACGCATGCACGTATAATACACACACACATACACTGTACACAAAATAAACCTTAAAAGAACTAGAAACCAACCCCATCTTTATTAACTCTGTAACCAAGAAGTGTAAGAAAAGCGCTTCAAGAGTAATACAAATGGTACAAATGCTTTGGGCTGATGCAAAAGAAAATTTGTAGCCCAGCAACTGAGAAATAAAAAGAAGTGCCTTGAACAAATAGGAGAAGGAGCAGAAAAAGACATAACTTTTTTATCTGTTGGAAGCTTTTATTAAAATATATGAATTAAAAAACTGTGAAAATGAGTGAATATAGGTAAATCCCCTTTTTTTTTCCTATTTTTTTTCCTTGTCATTTAATGATTGGTACTTTGTATGAAGGAAGTCAATAACAGAAAACAAAGAAACAAGACTGCATTTGTTTTAGTCCATAGTTCTTTTCTAGTTCAGCATTCAGTGGGATGGGAAAATCTGTGGTATGTATGTTTGAAGAGCCCAGATGCAATTGTGTCAGAAAACAAATGCTTCTGAGAAGGAGGAATTCTTGAAATTGTGGATTGGCAAGCAGAAAAACACCTGTTAATTAGAACATCTGGGCACATTGAAGTCAAATAACTACCGTGTTCTGCTTTGAAGAGATGGTTTCATGGTCTCGGTATAAAGCACAATATCAGAAATGCTGCCAACATCTTCTCCAGGCAATACAGGTCCTGTAGGACTTAGACAAAATTACTCTTATGTCTGTAAAATAACAGTATTGGTAAGAGAATGATAAAGAGCATAAGTGTTAACAAAAGCTGAATCAAAACTCCTTTGGAGTCTTCCATCCTGAGGTGCAGAGCATGTTAGCTTTTATATACCTGCTAGAGATGATTCCCCAGCTCTAGGGAATCCAATTTCTACCATAAGACACTGAGTCAGATATTTGTCCATTACAGTGTGCAGGTCTTCCCCCCTGGGCTTCAGGAGGGTCTCTGAGAGCTCTGATAATTCAAGGAATTGGTAAGAAGTGTGAGTCAGGCCAAGCACTGCAAACCAGTCTAGCACCTGAGCTGGCATCAAACAAGATTTTGGAAGAGGAAGCTTTAATTCTAAAGGTAAGTACAAGGGCAGGTAAAGTCCAATTCTATATCGAGCAGTTTACAGTGTGGTATTTGTGGCGAAAACTATTGTTATAAGATTTATAGATTCTAAGATAAGACTCCAGTCTGTCTGCTTTTCCTTAACGTAAAGCAAAGCATGCACTTTCAATTACCGGCAGTACAGGACAATGGCACATTGGGGAAGT